ATTGTTATGTTATTTTTGGGGAAAACGATGGCCCGCCTCGGCGCCGGCGGGGGTTGTCTCGGTAATAAATTGTACGGAACTTCCCATCGTTTTTTCTTGGCATCGGTGATGTGGACTCTAAGACGGTCGTCTGTCTCGTGCCTGAAAAATCGATAAAATCAAATCATGAAAATGAATGAATGAATTAAGTGGAATTGGGTTTTGTGGGTGGGTGTATACTTGACGAAGAGCTGTAAGAAAGGGATATCGGAGCCGTAAATTTGGGATGGGGTGTTGAGTTGGAGGAAGGCGAGAATGCCGCCGGCGGGTGCCTTGTTGACGGAAATGAGACGGTAGCCATTGCCGATTTTATAGGCCGGAATGGGGAGGAGGAAGAGGAAAAGGGAAGAAATAAACAGAGCCTGAAATGGGGTGGGAAATGCCGCCATGGGAGCTTGGAGAATAGATGACTGTGCTGCGACTTGGGACTGTGAATTATATAAGGAGGGTAGAGGAAGAAGAGGATGACGGAAAAATTTGTGAAAAAATGGATTTTTCTAAAAATTTATGATGGTAATTATTTTTTTATTATTATTTTTTTAGAGCTGCCCGTGACATTGAGATATTTATCTCAAATTGTAGTTTCTTCTTCTTTTTTTTTTCTAAAAACAAAAACAAAACAGGGAGTTTATTTGGCAAGTTGATTGTAAAATTGTAACTGAATTCAGTTAGCATATTTGATTTTCAAAATCAATTTGTGTAGAAAACAATAACCAATTGGATCTAAGGACCTTTATATTATGCAAATACCTAAATCACAAATGTTAAAACTCCAAATCAAGATGATGTCAACCCAACGAGAAGTTAGAACGAATTTACTTGATGATCAATATCAAGAGTAGATAAAACTGGTTTCAAAACTCAAGATTTGAATCACCCCTAAGACAACTTGGATTTTCATTATTTAATGTTCAAAATATACTAATATTTAAATAGTCTTTTTAACAATAGTAGAAAACCGGTTCGAAATCTCTATAAACATTTTTTTTTCAAATCCTACAGCAGCTAGTCTCAATAATCTATTTAATTTAATAATATCAATATTAATTTTAAGAACATTATATCATAATTACGGTACGCTAAAATCAACTCGCCCTATTTCAACCATCTTGAACTTTGTTGATATTGCATAAAATAATTTTCAACCTCATCTTGCCCAAGAGAGAGGGTTGGTTCACTTCTCCAATCTCACAAATCCACCCTTATGATCAAATTTGGTTAAAAAATTGGATTTACAGATGAATTGATTTTTAAATTTGGCCAAGATTAATGAGGATTGAGAAACAACAATATTTAAGTTAACAACTCAGGTCATGGCCTAATTGAACATGTAGTGTGTGAAAAATAATATAATGTATAAAGACGTACATACATATATTTATATTTTAATGATACTCACAAGCTAAATAAGATGACAAAATAGGTTGAAGTAGTCTCAATTTGCATTGGTCTTAAGAGTTTATGGCCCAACTGTTTTGGTTAGTCTAAATGGGCTAGGTTATTTCAAGCCCATACATACATGGGCCTGGTCTATTCACTCTACTTAAATAGTTTATTTTATTTACTAAATATATGCCCATATATTTTAATAAATAATAAAACAGACCAAAACGTTTCCTTGTAATATAACACAACTGATGGGAATGGGAAACAAGATGTAAAATGAAATCTAGCTCGTATAGTTGTGACACTCTTTGCAGTATTATTTTTGTTGTTGCTGAATTTTGATCGAGGTGACGTTGCAAGCCGCAACTGATTGAGGAGCTTCGATGATTCGAGTTGATGTCGAAGAGCATCACTTGCCTAAAATAATACCGTATGTCAAGACCAATGATTGATGTGGTGCTTTACCAAATGAACTCTAAAATTTAAGTTAAAGACTCATATTGGAAAAACAAAAATTGAGAATTAGAAGTTGGGTGAAAGATATTGTATACTTTTGATAAATGTTTGACTCATCTTTTATGTAGGAGGAAGATCTGGGAAGCGAGTTTAGGAGGTCAGAGTTTGTACTTGTTAGTGAGAGGATCTTCCACGAGCATAATGGATATTCGGACAAAACTATCGTATTTCCCATTATGTAAGTATTTATCTCGCTGACAAACTCTACTTGAGGAAGGGACCGAGCTGACCTGCTCGACATGTGACATGACCTCTATACCTCAGCTCAAGAAACTATCGAGCTCCAACCCAACTCTATTATATATTGCACTCATAACATCTTTACTATTTTACAGATGGGTAGATTCATTTTCTAATAGATCTATAATTTAAAAAAATATATATATTTAATGTCAGAGCTTTGATATACACAAAATTGAAAGTTCAAAATTTATTAGACACTTCTAACGTTCAAACATCTATTAGACACAAAATTTAAAATTAAAAAATATAGTTAAACACGACATTGAAATTTAACTACAGTTTTATTAATTTTGGCTACAAATAGTTGTAACAAAAAGTGGCCAATTGAGTCGATATCTAAATGTGCACTATTTTTCATAATATAATTATTTTGGTAACTGCCATATGTTGGTCAAATGGTCAATAAGATTAATAAAAGGTTCATTTCATTACTAGTATTCTCTCTTATTTTCGTGGATCATGTGCCTCGACCGTAGAGGATTGTAGATAAATTTGTGTTTAGTGTAGATTCTTTTCCGCATAATGTTCATTCCTATCTTATGGTTTTGAACCTAATTTTTAAAAAATTCATGTATACATTTTTAATCTATTTTGGTATATTGGTTGTCTGCCACTTATAATATATGTTGATTCCATTTATAAATTCTTACTATTACGTACATATAAATTATTTTTATTGAATTTTAAGTAGTGTATATTCTTTTCTTTGTAGTGTTAATTCCTATCCTATCGTCTCCAACCTAATTTATTTTTGAAAATGTCTAATTGTTGTCACCAATTTTAAATTATAGTTGATTTTATTTATGAAATTTTTGACATTACAGGTTTTGTAAATTATTTTTACTGAATTTTAAATAAAAAAGATTCTGGATTTATCACGAGTGAGTTTGCTCGTGGCAGTGGCAGTACCTGTCACCCACCAAACCATTTGATAATCAAAGAGTTTTAAATTTATCTCTTATGCATGTAATTTAAATGATTAGTAGGTTGTTTCAATCTCAGAAATGTTTTTTCCATTATTATCGGTGGCTGTACTTGACACTGATGCTTTTTATTATATTACTATTATTTTTTTTTTTCATGGAAAGGTAGGTTGGGAAGAATTTTCTTTAGCTTGTAAATTTACTGGAAAGAACATATTTACTCTTCTTCCCATACTTCTAATATGTAACATTTTCTTATTTAAAATATTTTAAGTAGTCTACGTGGCAATTGTTTATTAATCTTTTTAAGTTTCTTATATATAATATGAGTTCATTGTTTTTTTTTTAATTTGTTTAATGTGAATTTAAAACATTTAAATGCATGTGTTTCTAAATTTAATATCTTAAATTTACTATTGTAAGTGATACCAGCCTCCTAGGTTGTCTAAAAATATAGTACAGTCAAGTTTTTATTTTAAAATTTAAATAGAATCGTAAATCAGCCAAGATATTTTAATAAAATAAATAGGGCAAAAAAAAGGCCGGGAAGGTTTGCACTTTTCCTCACTTGAGTAGAAAGCTTTGAAGTAAGGAGGATATCCTGAGCCAAGCACAAGCAGTAAGTAGGTCTCAAAGAGTCATAAAGTTGGATCAAGAAAGAAGGTCGAAAGTTAGGCAATAAAGCCCACGTTATCGACACCTATTGTCCGTCGTAAGTGATTTCTCGTCAGCAACGTGTCCTTTAGACCCTTTGCTTAGAAGTGGATTCGAACCACTGACACAAGAATTTTCAGTCCTTTGTTCTAACCAGCTGAGCTACCAGAATCACTTTCCTAAAGTCTGTTTTCTTCAAAGAATACGTCCTACCTTACCACTTGACTAGTAAGGGAAAAGCCCTTTACTCAAATAAATAGTTAGGGCTTTCTTTTTTGGCTTGTTCGTCAAGCTTTCAAGCAGCTCTTTCAACAGCCGCGGAGAAAAGAAAGGGACAAGGGTGGTCTTGCTTGGCGCGAAGGCGGCTGGTTTGGGGGTAAGGTACGATACTAAAGGTCCTCGGGGCTTTCTCGTCTAAAAGACGGGTGAGCTTTTTCACTATACAATGACCACTACGAACGAAGGACCAACGACGATGAAGGAGGAGATGGCGAATTTATTTGTTTATTTAATCATCTTTCTTGTTATCATTTTCATAAATGTGTATATACATCTATATCTATATCTATACTATATTAAAAAGGTAGAAGGTAGGAAAAACATTTTTGGACACTTTTGTCCTTTACTAAATTTACAAATTTACAAATTATGCCWTTAATATATTATTACAAATATTAAATTAATTATTAATTATTAATTATCAATACTATAAATGCATGGAATATAAAAGGTTAGAATGCAAAAAGTTTTCCAACAACATAAAATTAATTTTTTCTTTAATTGAGGACCAACGACCTTGAAAAGCTTTTGTAACGTTTTATCCTCTACTACTATAAAAATAGGTTTTCTTCTACATGTTTTTCACAAGTTTCAATACTTTTTTATTCTTAGTTTCTTGAAACATCTCTCAAAGATGATTCAATCTTGAAAACATCTCGAGATATTTGTGACATATTCATCAAGTTGCAAGAGAGGCATATGTTGAATCTACATATCTCGAATACTAGGTTTGTAACATTACCATTCCACAATTTTACAAAGTTGAATAATAGTATCTGTCAAGCAATCTTCAAGAATGAGCATATTTACTCTAAAGATGAGTGTATAGGGAGTACTTGGATTTTTTTTGTTACTATTGTTATTTTTCTAATTAGTGTGTTTTTTATTTGGAATGTTTCTTTTTTTAGCAATTTTATTTAGTTTAGGATTTGGACTTTTTTTTTGTTACTAATGTTTTTTATTGTTTAGTGTATTTTTTTTAGCAATTTTATTTAGAATATTTGTTTAAAATATAGATAATTACAAGCTCATGTTCTTATTGTTGAAAAAAACAATCACAGAAGTCAGCATATAAAAAAATGTTTAATTAATAAATTAATTATAAACAATAATTTGTATAGAATCGTAAAAGGTGGAATATAAAACTTTTGGTCATTTTATTTTCTAATAATATAATTTGAAGAATTTTTCTTTAATAATTTTAATTATAATATAAAATTAAATCAATAAAATAATTTAGTTTTAGTTAAAAAATTCAACATATACAACAACATGTCAGCCCTAAACAAATATTTAATAAACAAACAAAATATTAAAAAATAAAATAAAGGACCCATATYAGGTTGAAATAATTTAAAAATAAAAATATTAAAATACCTATTTACTTTTTTATTAATATATAATTTTTTCCTTTACTTTTAATTTATTTATTTACAAAATATATCATT